AGGGGGAGATGGCCACACCGCAATCCCTTCTCCTCCATTCTCCTCTTGGGATCTTGGGCACGCACGCACACACGCCCGGTGTGAATTTAAGCCACCGGGTCCGGGACGTGAACCATGGTCAACTACATGGGAGTCCAGCGACATAGCCATTATGCTAACTGCTGGTCCATGCATGTAATTTTTTTAAAAACAGTTTTTGCCATAGGTGCAAGCACTTCCTGGGAGACACAGACAAAGAGAAAGTGAGAAATCCCTTCCCGGGGAGGATGGCCACTTTGAGACCCTTTATCCTCCATGCTCCTCTCAGAATGGGGGCCCGGCATGTTTTCCAAGCTGTGGGGTCTGGGACCAGAACTGTGCAGCTGGCTATATGGGGTCCTACCGCCTTTAACCACCATATCCAACTGGCCCCTAGCTTATTCTGTTTTCTTTCTTCCTTTTCCCTTGGGACTATGCTTTTTTCTTTTTAAAATTAGGTATTATCGGGACCAGCAGTTAGCGTAATGGCTATGTCGCTGGACTCCCATGTAGTTAACCGTCGTGGTTCACGTTCCGGACCCGGTGGTTTAAAACTCATGCCGGGCGCGTGTGTGTGCGCATGCCCAAGATCCCGAGAGGAGAATGGAGGAGAAGGGATTGCGGCGTGACCATCCCCCCTGGGGGGTGATTTCTTGCTTTCTGTCTCTCTGTCTCTCTCTGTCTGTCTGGCGAGCGCACACGCCCTATAGCGAAAACCTCTCAAAAAAAAACCCCAAAAAACAAGTATTATGTACATAAAAGAAAATCCATCCATTTTAAGTATTGATGAATTTTGGGGGTTGCATGCCATCATGGCAACACCTCCGTCACGGAAACACAGGGCAGCCCCCGCCACCCCGGCCTCACCCTTGCCCCTGTGCAAGACGCGCTCCCCCTCCAGGCACAGCCAGGCACGCCTCTGCCCGGAGCTGCGTGTGAGCGCGTGGCCGCCTTGACTGGCACAGTGCATTTCGGATCCACTCGTGCTGGTGCTGGGTCTCGTGGTGGCTCATCCCCCTCTCTCCCTGAGCTGTCCTCGTCCTCATCCTCATCCTCATCCTCACCGTGGGCGCACACGCACATGCACCTAGGGTGAGTTTAAGCTACCGGGTCTGGGACTCGAACTACAGTCGACCACAATGTAGCCATTACGCTAACTGCTGGTCCCATCTATTTTCAGTCTTTCTAACACGTACCAAGGTAGCTGGTAGCACTAGACCTTTAAGGCTCAACTCATGGGGGCCAGCAGGTGGCAGGGTGCTTAAGGCACTGGATTCCCACATGGCCGACCATGGTTTTAATCTTGGACCTGGAGGCCTGAAAATCATGCTGGGTGCTTGTGCATACCTCAAAATCCTAAGAGGAGAATGGAGGAGAAGGGACCACAGCATGACTGTCCCCCCAGGGGGTGATTTCTTGCTTCTGTCTCTCTGGGAGCACATGTGCCCTATGGCAAAAATCTCTCTTCCCCCCTGTAAAAGAAAAGATTCAATTCATGATACTGTGTGCATCTTACTTATTGCCTTTTTTCTTTCTTAATTATTTATTTAATTTTATTTGTCATCATTATTATTTCTTAATTTGCTACATGTGCTCACCAGAGACGGAGAGAGAAAGCGGGAAAGTGAGCCACCAGGCCTGGGACTCAAACCGCAGCTGGCCCTGTGGGTCCAGTGCCTGCACTACTGCCACCTGCTGCCCCGTCTTTCTGCTGGAATGTGTGGGCTCCCCAGCGACAGATGGCGAGGGAGCAAGCATCCCCCGATGGGGCGTGGCACCCCGCTCCCTTCTGCATTCTCCTCCAGGGATTGTGGGTGCAGGCGGTACATGCAGCTTTCCTGACCATCTACCACGCGCTCCCTCCCCACCCCCACATTCCCTGTCCTTTGTCCCTGCTTGGCTTTCTGTCACAGCGTCTGTCACCACCCACAGCCCGTTTCTGCACTCTGCTAGGCTGTCTACCCCAGAAGACAGGGGCCAGCGCGACAGGGGCAGAAGCCTGTCTGTTCCACTCAGTGCTTATCTCCCGCACCTGCTACGGACAGTCGCTGAGTGAGCAACGTGTTTGCCAACACCCAGGGGCGCCTCTGTATACGGGCAGCCTTGAGAAAAAGAAATGAACGTAACGGACACACCCTGCTGATCCGAGGGATTGCTCTTACATCCCAAGGTGCTATTTCCTGGGCAGATATCCACATCAGCGATGGCAGACGCTGGGCTACGAGAGAAACAGCCTATTCTATGGATGAGAAAGCAGAGGCCTTGTTTTATGGCTTGTCCAAAGCAGGGACTTACACACAGCAGTGGGTGAGAGCACTTAATCACTACATTTTGGGGTCGTAGGCAAAGATTTGGCAACAAACATGAAGCGGGGGTATTTGTGGAGGAGAGACAAGCCAGAATACTTGGGTGGTATGAGCCAGGCATGGCGGCCCCTTGGCACTCTGAGCCCCATCACTCGGAGACCAGAGCACCATTGCTTATGCGGGCATGGGGTTGGGAGCAGGTATCAACAGAGGCAGGGGACTGGCAGAGTGGGCCTGAGGTTGGGTCCGGCCATCTGGTAGACCTGGAACCACGTGAGAACACTCCAGTCTGGGGCTCTCATGGTGGGTTGGGTCTGGCCATCTGGTAGACCTGGGACCATGTGAGAGCGCTCCACTCTGGGGCTCTCACAGTGGCTGATGGATCGCTCAGAGGTACACAAAGTGTGGTCAGAGCAAAAGATTCTAGACATGAGAATTTTGACATACCATGAGTCTAGAACCTCCTTCAGTGCAAAACACAGGATCTAGAACATGGTGATGAATAAATATTTGAAGGGCTACCGAGGCTGTCCAGGAGGGTTCATTCACAGGACACAGATGTGAGGTGGTGCGGACAGGATACCCAGGTGCCATCTGGGTTTTGGGGGCCTGAGGATACAGGTGGGAGACTGGGCGTTGACTGGGTTGCAACATCAGGTTATGGGATTTTAAGGGGTGCAACATCTGGGGGACCACAGAGCCAGCAGCGCCTGAATGCTCGTCACGTGTTGAATGTCCAGTGGGACCGAGCGTGTCTGAGAGCTTGGCTGGCTCAGCAGGAGCAGGCTGGGAATAGGGTGGCCTAGTCCGAGTAAGCCGAGTGAGGGCGTGCTGGGAGGGAGGTGTGGGTGACCAGGTCCCACTGTCACTGTGGGTCTCTCGTCCATTTCTGCTCCTCGGTTTTGTGCTTTCGTATCGTCTCGTGGATCCATGGAACGTACTGGGACACTCGAGTGTAGACGCCAGGCCGGTCAGGCTGCCCGCACGGGAAGTCTCCCCAGGAGATTATGCCATGGAGTGTTCCGTTACAGACCAGGGGGCCCCCAGAATCACCCTGTGGGGGGGCGGAGAGAGAGGTGAGGGCCTCACGAGGGACAGAGGTGGGGTGCACATCGTGGACTCATTAGCATACTCTTCCTCACAAGCCAAGACTCAATCGCGGTCGCTTCCTTTATTTTACAGGGGTTGTGGGTTTTTCCTATATTTTGTTGTTTTCCCATGGAGTAGCCATTGTCCCTTATCTTTCTGATCTTTCTTCATTTGGAGAACTACCTATTCCTACTCTCAATCCATGCGCTGGTCCCCTTCCCATTTCCCACAGCTAGCCATGTGACCCAGACATGACCCATCACGGCTCTGCCCAGAGCGACGGGTCGGAACACAGGACTTAGGCCGGCCTAGAGAGACTCATGCTGAAGACACCCGACTACTGCTGGGGGGAGGCACTTCGAGCAGAGGAGGGAAGCCCCACGCTGGGGCCATCTTGCCCTGGCATGGGAAGTGCCTAGCTGAGAATGAAGCCAAAATGAGAGAGCGAGGGACTGAGAGGGAGAGGGAGACAGGATTCCAAAACATGAGGTGCACACCTGGATGCGTCTGTGCCTGCAGCCAGCCACCTCGGAGTGTTAGTTATAAAAGCCAGTGTTTTGCTTATGCTGGTTTGAGTTGGGTTTCTGTCACTTGCAACTGAAGGAACCCCAACCTTTATGCATCTCAGCACAGGCGTCCAAAGCTGGGGGGCTTCCATGAGTTACATTTGTCATTCTTAGTTTCTCCTTCGTGTCTTGACCCGCTACGCTAGAGGACACCTCAGCTTACAGGGAGGCTGGAAGCAAACCCTTCCCCCCAGCACCCACCTGCCTCCTTGCTGGATGGGAACGCCCTGGTCTGGGGCCACTCCCGACCCTGGCCTGACCCTGGCCTCACCTCGCAGGAGTCCTTGCCACCCTCCTTGGTGCCGGCACACAGCATGTTGCGCGTGATCTTCCCGGGGTACACCTGGCGACACTCCTCATCCGAGCGCAGCTGGATGTTGGCACACTGCAGGGTTTGGGGGTAACTTACTGGGGAGGAGGAAAGAGAGAAGGTCTAAGGGCATCTGTGCTGTGCAGGGGGTGGTGAGGGTGGGAGCTAGAAGGCACGGGACAGACATGGAGTGAGGACTGGAGACAGGAGCACCGGGGCGGCACGGAGGGATGTGGAGGGCTGGGAGGGGAAAGGAGAGTTGCTGGGAGAAAGATATGGAAATAAATAAGACCGGGAGGAGTTGGGGCCAGCAAGTGGCTTGGGGGTTAAGGGGCTGGACTCCAATATGGCCGACCGTGCTTCAAATCCCGAACCTGGCTGCTTGAAAATCATGCTGGGCACATGTGTGTGCATGCCCTAAATCTCAGGAGGAGAATGGGCGGAACGGACTGAGGTGTGGCCATGCCCTCTGGGGGCGACTTTCACTGTCCCTCTCACTGTCACTCTCTGTTCCTCCCTGGTGAGTGCACACGCTCTATGGCAAAACCTACAAAAAAAAAAGCAAACAAAAAAAGACTGGGAAGGGCTAGCGATGGGTAAGGAGACACAAAGCGCTCCTGTTTATCAACTTTATATTCATTATATACAAAAGGGCTTCAAAAAGTTTGTGGAGAACAGAATTACGAGTTTATTTTGTTTCAAAACTTGTGAAATCTATGCAGGTTTTTTCCAGAATTTGCAGTTTCCATGAATTTTTGAAGACCCTTTGTAGAATATATATAAAGGCTATATTCACTTACATTATATTTAGTATATTAATGTATTTTGTAAGTTATAAAACATAAAAAAATTATATTTTTATAATTTACAGACCACATATACTATGTAAATACATGTTTAAATAAAGATATTTGTACAATATATAAAATATTATGTAATGTATAAGATAGAAAATATTTGTAATTAATTTATAGGATATATATTTATAGTACATATATAATTTGTAAAATTTATACTCTATAATATGCATTTAATTTATAGAATTAATGCAAGTATAATACATGAAATATATTTATAGCTATGTTACATATAATATGTAACATATGTAATACACAGCGGGGCTCCCTGACCCTGGGCCATGACTGTGGCCTGTTAGGACCTGGGCCGCACAGTCGGAGGTGAGCAGCAGGTTAGGAGCGAAGCTTCCTCTGTATTTACAGCCGCTCCCCCTCAGCGAGGGACTGAGAGGGAGAGGGAGACAGGATTCCAAAACATGAGGTGCACACCTGGATGCGTCTGTGCCTGCAGCCAGCCACCTCGGAGTGTTAGTTATAAAAGCCAGTGTTTTGCTTATGCTGGTTTGAGTTGGGTTTCTGTCACTTGCAACTGAAGGAACCCCAACCTTTATGCATCTCAGCACAGGCGTCCAAAGCTGGGGGGCTTCCATGAGTTACATTTGTCATTCTTAGTTTCTCCTTCGTGTCTTGACCCGCTACGCTAGAGGACACCTCAGCTTACAGGGAGGCTGGAAGCAAACCCTTCCCCCCAGCACCCACCTGCCTCCTTGCTGGATGGGAACGCCCTGGTCTGGGGCCACTCCCGACCCTGGCCTGACCCTGGCCTCACCTCGCAGGAGTCCTTGCCACCCTCCTTGGTGCCGGCACACAGCATGTTGCGCGTGATCTTCCCGGGGTACACCTGGCGACACTCCTCATCCGAGCGCAGCTGGATGTTGGCACACTGCAGGGTTTGGGGGTAACTTACTGGGGAGGAGGAAAGAGAGAAGGTCTAAGGGCATCTGTGCTGTGCAGGGGGTGGTGAGGGTGGGAGCTAGAAGGCACGGGACAGACATGGAGTGAGGACTGGAGACAGGAGCACCGGGGCGGCACGGAGGGATGTGGAGGGCTGGGAGGGGAAAGGAGAGTTGCTGGGAGAAAGATATGGAAATAAATAAGACCGGGAGGAGTTGGGGCCAGCAAGTGGCTTGGGGGGTAAGGGGCTGGACTCCAATATGGCCGACCGTGCTTCAAATCCCGAACCTGGCTGCTTGAAAATCATGCTGGGCACATGTGTGTGCATGCCCTAAATCTCAGGAGGAGAATGGGCGGAACGGACTGAGGTGTGGCCATGCCCTCTGGGGGCGACTTTCACTGTCCCTCTCACTGTCACTCTCTGTTCCTCCCTGGTGAGTGCACACGCTCTATGGCAAAACCTACAAAAAAAAAAAGCAAACAAAAAAAGACTGGGAAGGGCTAGCGATGGGTAAGGAGACACAAAGCGCTCCTGTTTATCAACTTTATATTCATTATATACAAAAGGGCTTCAAAAAGTTTGTGGAGAACAGAATTACGAGTTTATTTTGTTTCAAAACTTGTGAAATCTATGCAGGTTTTTTCCAGAATTTGCAGTTTCCATGAATTTTTGAAGACCCTTTGTAGAATATATATAAAGGCTATATTCACTTACATTATATTTAGTATATTAATGTATTTTGTAAGTTATAAAACATAAAAAAATTATATTTTTATAATTTACAGACCACATATACTATGTAAATACATGTTTAAATAAAGATATTTGTACAATATATAAAATATTATGTAATGTATAAGATAGAAAATATTTGTAATTAATTTATAGGATATATATTTATAGTACATATATAATTTGTAAAATTTATACTCTATAATATGCATTTAATTTATAGAATTAATGCAAGTATAATACATGAAATATATTTATAGCTATGTTACATATAATATGTAACATATGTAATACACAGCGGGGCTCCCTGACCCTGGGCCATGACTGTGGCCTGTTAGGACCTGGGCCGCACAGTCGGAGGTGAGCAGCAGGTTAGGAGCGAAGCTTCCTCTGTATTTACAGCCGCTCCCCATCGCGTGCATTAGTGCCCGAGCTCCTCCTTCTGTCAGGTGGGCAGTGGCACTGGGATTTCACAGGAGCCCCAGATGGGACCGCCTTTGCAGGAAAGCAAGCTCAGTGCTCCCGCTGATTCTGCGACACGGCGAGTCGCATCATCACTTCATTGTACATGACAATGCAACGATGACAGAAACGAGGTGCCCGAGAAACGTAATGCACCCCAATCATCCTGAATCACGCCCTCCCTAGCCTGGGGAAACTGTCTTTCAGGGAATCAGTCCCTGGTGCTAGAGAGACTGGGGACTGCTGGTCTACAGCATAGATTAGATGGTACGTATTTATACACACACACACACACACACACACACACACACCTGTATATAAGGAACATTATGCATTTATACACACACACACACATCCCTGTGTATAAGGAGCATGATGCATTTATACACACACACACACACACACATCCCTGTGTATAAGGAGCATTATGCATTTATACACACACACACACACACACACACACATCCCTGTATATAAGGAACATCATGCATTTATACACACACACACACACACACACACACATATCCCTGACATATAGAAGGAACACTATGCATTTATATACACACACACACATCCCCGAGACATATAATGTATGTTATGTATTTATACACACACACATCCCTGATATATGTAAGTACATTATGCATTTATACACACACACACACACACACACACATCCCTGAGACGTATAATGTATGTTATGTATTTATACACACACACACACACATCCCTGACATATGTAATGTACAACCTTCCCTCCCATGTTTGCCTAGGTCTCCCTGGCCACTCCTGTGAGGCCTCAGGTCACCTGCGTGGGTGCATACCCTGGGGGCTGGTGGTGGTGCCCCAGCCAGACACCCGACAGCAGGTGCCAGGGGGGAAGCAGTCCTCGTGGGAAAGGGGCAGGACACGGACGTAGCCTGTGAGCTGGACCGGGGACTGCAGCTCCAGAAGCATGATGTCGTGGTCATGGTTCATGTGGGTGGGGCTGATCCGGTACTGAGGGTGGGGGAGAGAGCGGGCTACCTCCCTCACCTGCTCGCCGGTCTCCACACGCCCCAGTGCGTGCTTGCCCAGGTAAACTCTGTACTCACTGCGGGCACAGAAAGGGGATGGTTAGGGGAGAGGAAGGCTCCTCTCCACCCGCACCAGCCCCAGCTTCTTCCTCGCCCCACCCTCCTCGTCTACAAACACATCTCTTTCCCCATCCTCAAATTCAGTCCCACCCAAGGCACGTCCTCTGACTATCCCCACACCCAACTCCTGGATCTCCACCGCAGCCTTCCTTCTTGCCCCACGCCCATGCCCAACCTGGAGCCCACCCCACCACCCCAGGCCCGCATTCACCTATGCTCCCTGGTCCCCACATACTCTTTCAGACAGTGTGCTGCCGTGAGGACCCACTTGGGGTGGACCAGGACTCCCCCACAGAGTAGCCGCCCTTGCACTAGCAGGGCCGCCTGCCAGGGCTGGGAGTGGGGCAGGCAGGTGTAGCCACCTGGTAGGAAACCATTGGCTCCGTCAGTGCCGTTGAGAATCTTGGGGTGCTCCCGCGAGATGCCTGATGAAGAGGAGAAACGGTTAGAGAACCCAGGATGAGGAGGAGGCCGGAGTCGTTTGTGTCTCCTGGGCTTGGGGAAAGGGTCCGGATATTGCCCTGGGTGACCAGGGAGTAACGATTCACTTGTAGGCCTCTGGGAGTTGCCGGTTCTTATCCTGCAGAGATGAGTCAGGGCAAAGAGCTGAAGGTCTTTTCCACGGATGAGCAAACCCTCCATTGGGGATTTAGAAAAGAGGGTGCAGGGACCAGTAGATGGCATAGTGGTTTCATCACTGGACTCCCGTGCAGTTGCCGACGGTTTGAGTCCTGGACCCAGCGGCTTAAAACTCACACCAGGCGCATGTGCATGCATGCTCAAAATCCCAAGAAGAGAATGGGGGAGAAGGGATTGCGGTGTGGCCATTCTCTCATGAGTGCATGCACCCTATAGCAAAAACCTCTCTCAAAAAAAAAGGAAAAAAGGAAAAAGTTCGTAGATTGAGGATGTTTCCAGAGGGAAAGCAGAGGCCGGAGCTTTTTCCCACAATGCTTTCTCTATCATTCTACCATGGAGGTGGATTTCTGGAAGAGGAAGTGAAACGGACGGGGATATCTCCCTGGGTCATCTCTGACCATCCATCCTTACGACACACGTGCGTTCACTGAGCACCCGTGTGGCTTGAAGTACCACCACAGGCTGCCACTACAGGTCACATCTCCAGGCCAGAACTCTTCCCTTAAGCTCAAGACTCGAGCACTGTCAACCCGAATGTCCCAGTGCATCTTCAGTTTTGTAGCCCCAACTTGATCTCTCTCAACCAAGACCGCTCCTTCCAGTCTCGCTCACCTCAGGGCTCAGCCCCAAACCTAGGAGTCATCTTTCCTTCACTCACAACCAAGTGCTGTTGGGTTCACCTCCTAAACACTCAGTCCTCTCCGGCTCCTCTGCCACCACCTTGCCCCAAGGCCGCCTTCTTGCCCAATGACTACAATAACACACACACACACACACACACATTTAAGATTTTTGTTATAGGGTGTGTGCGCTCACCAGAGAGAGAGACAGAGAGAGGGAAATGGAGAAGTCACCTCCCAGGGGAGATGGCCATGCTGCAGTTCTTTCTCTTCCATTCTCCTCTTGGGATTCTGGGAACGCACACACGCATGCCCAGCGTGATTCTCGAGCTGCTAGGTTGAGTCCAGGACTGAAATCGTGGAAGGCAGCGTCTCAGCCACCACATCACTGGCTGGCCCCTACATAACATCTTAAATGCCTCTACTTTTGCGTCTCCAGTTTTCTCAAAGGAGCCCAAGGAATCTCTGAACAAAGAAATTCTGGCCATGTCATTCCCAGGTTGGCTTCCCTTGAAATAAGCCTGAGAGCTTCCTGTAGGGCTCTGCGTAATCCGGCTAGCTCCTGCCCCTCTCGCTTGACTCCTCGTCCCAGCCGCATGGACCCATTCTCCAACACAGCAGTCCTTCCCACTTGCTGTCTCCTCCCTCTGGACGGTGCTTTCTCTAGACTCACACTGTCCGGTATGGTACCCACTAAGCACGGGAGGCTGTTCGCATTTATTAGAACATTTAATGAAGAAAGGCCACTCCTCAGTCACGCCAGCCATGTCTCAACGCTCAGCAGCTCCCGGTGGCCATGGCCCGGCTCAGGTGTCTCTTCAGAGAGGGGTTCCCTGGCTATCGGGCGCCCCTTTCCTCAGTCACCCTTATTATACATTCCCAGCTGACTTCCATCACACAGCGACCACCACTGCTTCCCTTTATATTTGCCGACATTTACGGTTTTTTAAATCTTTGCACTTAAAAAATGTTTTGCTAGAGGGTATGTGCATCTCCAGAATGAACTAGAGAGAGAGAGAAAGCACTTCTCCCTGGGGCATGGGCATGCCACGGTCCCTTCTCTTCCATGTCTCCATCCTGTCCTGGGTTTTTTTTGGAGTAGTTTTTCGCTATAGGGTGTGTGCGCTCGCCAGACAGACAGAGAGAGACATAGAGACAGAAAGCGAGGAATCACCCCCCAGGGGGGATGGCCACGCCGCAATCCCTTCTCCTCCATTCTCCTCTTGGGATCTTGGGCACGCACGCACACGCGCCCAGCATGAGTTTTAACCCACTGGGTCCGGGACGCAAACCGCGGTCGACCACGTGGGAGTCCAGTGACATAGCCATTACGCTAACTGCTGGTTCCCATCCTGTCCTGGTTGTGAGCATGTATGCACATGCGCCCAGCATGTGTTTCAAGCTGCCAGGGCTGGGATTCGAACCACGGCTGGCCATGTGGGATCTGGCTTCCTTAACCACTGGCCCATGGAGCAGCCCTAATCTCCCCACCATGACTGTAGGAACCTAATTGCCCACAGGAACCTCAACTACCTTACTCGGTAGTTCCTCATACCCAACACCCAGCACAGTGACGGGCACACAGTAGGTTGGTAAATAATCCTATGTGATCACGCACTGCACTGGCACGGGAGACGCCGACAGCCCACCCCTGACCACGCCGGACCACGCGATCTCATCACCTGACAGCCTCCATGTCCCAAGCTGTCGAGGAGGAAAAGGACCAGTTCACCTCCACGGCAGTTACAGGGCTCAGTCGGATCCTGCACTTCAGGCGTGCAGCCCGGCTGCTGGCACACGGCATGGCTAATAGCTCCTGTTATAATAACTACCGGTTATTAGCCACAACGAGGAGGCCCTTCTCCCCTGGGCCAGCTTCCCCACATACACACCCCCAAAGTTAGGAACAAGAGCCGTTGGTAGCACGAGCTCTTTCTAGGTGACACTGACACAGAGTTACGGCATAGTAACACTAAGTTGCAGGGCCAGCAGGGTGCTATGGTGGTTAGGGCACTGGATTCCCACATGGCCGACAGCAGCTCAAGGCCCAGACCTGGTGGTTTGCTTTCTCACTTCCTCTCTCTCTGCTAAGTATGTGCCCTACAGTGAGTTTTAAAATAACAATAAACATAAATAATTCTGTCAAAAGATAATTATTCATTTTTACTTTTGTTTATTATTATTAGTAGTATATTTTAATTTTATCAGAGAGAAAGAAAGAGAGGGGAAGTGAGAAAGCAAGCCACTAGGTCTGGGACTTGACTCACTGCCAGCCATATGGGAGTCGAGCATCCCAACCACCACGCCACCTAAATAATTAAAAAAAAATAAAAAAGACCCACAGTAAATTGCGCATGTGGAAATTGAGTCATCTTATGATTTTCTTTTTTTAATATCGATTTTTTTCCTTTTTTTGGAGAAGTTTTTGCTATAGGGCACGTGTGCTCGCCAGAAAGACAGAAAGAGACAGAGAGACAGAAAGTGAGAAATCCCCCCCCCCCCGGGGGGGAGGTGGCCACACCACAATCCCTTCTCTTCCATTCTCCTCTCAGGATCTTGGGCATGCACGCACATGTGCCCGGTGTGAGTTTAAGCCACCGGGTCCGGAACTTGAACCACAGTCGGCTATATGGGAGTTCAGCAACATAGCCATTATGCCAACTGCTGGTCCCAATGTTTTTTTTTTCTTCCTATTGGGCATGTGTGCTCGCCAGAGAGAGATAAAAGAGAGAGAGAGAGGTGAGAAATCATCCCCTGGGGGAGGGGCCACATTGCAATCCCTTTTCCTCCATTCTCTAGGGATTTCAGGCATGCATGTGCACACGCCTGGCCTGTTTTTCAAGCCCTCCAGGTCCAGGGCTCCAACCATGCAGCTGGCCATGTGGAATCCAGCCACCTTAACCTCCATGCCACCTGCTGGCCCCCGCCTAATTCTCTTTCTCTCTCTCTCTTTTTTCTTTTTGCTATAGAGCGCGTGCGCTCGCCATTACGCTAACTGCGGCTCCCCCGCCTAATTCTCTTTTAATCCTGATGTGGTGGAGGATAAAATCTCACAGTGATGTCCACGAACTTTTAAAGACTTGCCCTCTCCGATCTTCACTGAGCTCACCTTTGCACACCTGGAAGCAGCAGAAGCCTTCAGCAGGCAGCCTAACCTTTACTAAGCTGTCCTATGTGCTGTTTCGGGGCGTTCAGGGCGAGAACTGGCCACGGTAGGAGGCCCAGCCCCATGAACACGTTGTTTTGTGGTTGTGCATGATTTGCTTTTCCTTACCTTCTACTTGTGGTAAAGGAAGCTATTTCCCCCTCAGAACTGTAAAATAAAGTTTACTTTTTAATGTGCTTTTTGACTCAGAAACAGAAAAAAAAAAAGAGCTCATTTTAAAGCCATTAGCTCGATGTTGTCAGGTGGCATGGTGGTTAGGGTGCTGGACTCCCACATGGTCTACCCTGGTTCGAGTCCCGGACCCGGCAACTTGCTTTCTCACCTTTTCTTTCTCTTTCTGGTCAAATTAAAAATAAAAAAAAAAAATTAAAAAGGTGGTTTGCAGGGCCTCAAGCCTGAGGAAATGGCAGACAGACAGACAGCCCTGATTAGAGTCCTGACTGACCTGGGCAGTGCAGGTGTTTTGTGGGCAGGATGCTCTGAGTTTGAGTTTCTGGCAGTGAGACGGAAGTGGTTACAGTGCTGGGCAGGTGTTGGGGAGGCCCTATGGTGGGGCGTGTGTGCTCCTATCCTGGCCCAGGGCACGCGAGTCCTGGGAGCGTTGCCAAAGGAGAGAAACCACCCCACCTCAGGCCAAGGATGGTGCCAGGTGCCAGGCACCTGGGAGCCCTCCTTCAAGTCTTGGCTCAAAGACCCAGTCCCTAGGGGATTCTTGCAGGCCAGGAACTGCCCTGACATCTCCAGGCTCTGGCTCAACTCCTTGAAGACTTCACCCCCCATCAGGGTTCTAAGTGGTTATTAACTAATTATTTGGGCAATTGAACAACGCCTGCCTCTGCCCCTGCCAGGCTCGGGGCCGAGAGCACTACCTGTCGGCTCCTACAGCACACAGCACGGAGCCTGGGGCCCCAGGGCCAGGTGAATGCGGTGACTGAAGGAAAGACCAGGATGAATGAATGGGACAGGGGACAGCAGCGTCAGTGGGAGGAGAGGACTCTTCAGGGGTCCACTTTGGTTGGGGTCATGTAGAATTGGGGTCAGCCCAGGGCTTAAAGGAAGAGCACATTAGAAGGTTCTGGAAGGGACTGAGGATGAAGAGAGTTACTACCAATAAACAAACGAAGAACTTTCCAGTCTCTTCTCTGCCGTGCACCGAGTGCAAGGACCCTTCGTGGGAAGTACTGGAGAGACCCCATTTCACAGGTGAAAACGACAGGGGCACAATGCACCTGTTTCTTGTGTGCCCCCCCCACCTTTCTCCTTCTGAAACCTCAGATCAGGACGGTTTGGTGGGAGGGCATTTGAGGAGCTGCGGGTCAGTGCAGAGCTGGGACATCCAGGGAGGGGTTTGGGGCCAGAGGGAAAGGAGCTGGGGTCAGAGGGCTGGCCTCAGCCGGGAAACCAGGTCACACAGGGACAAGCAGGAAGCCCTCAGGGCTGTCCCCGAAGAACCCGGCTATGAGTGGGCGAGGGGGCGGGGCTCGCGGCTCCCACGCCCCCTCCCGGCCGACCCCTCCCACCATTGTCGGAGTGGACACCGCGCCCCCGCCCCCACGCATTCTTACCTTTTGACAAGGCCACCGTCAGGGAGGCCACCACAGCAGCCAGGGTCCACATGGTGGCTCTGGGTTGGGGGTGCAGGGCAGACAGGGCCTGAGAAGTCAGAGGGGCGCTGAGAGGGCTGGTCTGAACCGGAGTCTGAAATCTCTCGCTCCCGCGTTTCCAGCCTTGCATCTCGCCCTCAGCTCGCTCACTCTGCACGCCCTGACCCTGGACGGCCCCCTCCTCAGTTCCACCCTCGGTGGGGTGCAGTAACAAGGCGGGCGGGGGTTGCACACACACACCCTGGGCCCCGGCTTGCTGCCCCTCCCCCAAGGAGGCTCCCCCCTGCCTCTGCTGTCCAGCGAGCTGGGCCCTGGCTGCAGGCCCACGTCTGGCGCCCCTCCTCCGGAGCCTGCCAACCACTCTTTCTGACCCCTTTCTCGAGGCTGTCCCCACGCTTGGGCTCAACCTTAGTTTCTTTTCTGTGCGTCCCATCTCTCCCCACCTCTGCAGGTTCCCACCCCCCTCTCTGAACCTCTAGCTTCTCTCTCCAGCTCCCAGCGCTGAAACTTCAGCCCCGACCCATGGCTTTTAACCCCTGAACTCCCTCCCCCAGCTCACTCAGCATTTCCTGGTCGCTGGCCTCCCCCTCTCCACCCCCAGTGGCTCAGCAGGCTGTCGCCAGGCACCCCCCAGCCTGGGCTTGGCCCTCTGCTTGGGGCGGAGCTTCCAGGACGTGCTGGGACCCAGGTCTGGCCCCGCCTAAGGCGAGTGGAACCCACTGTGAACCTTCAGGCTGCGCGACTCAAAAAGGGGGGTGAGAAACCCCGTGTCCTCCCCACCCGACCGTAACTTTAACCCATTTGCGTTTCCAGTTTGTACCCTCTCCTCCAAGCCCGTGTCTGTAGTGAAACACCCGCTCCCAGATGGCCATCTGCCGCCCTTTCCGCACTCCACCTCCAACCTTAGGCTCCGGGCCCGGCCTGGGTCCCTGCTCTAACCCGAGCCCAAGCTTGTCTCTCAGCGGGAAACCCGGCACATCCAGCTTCCAGTTCCCAGCCTTGCCTTTTCTTCTGAAAGCCGCAGGGATTAGCAAACGTTTTCCATCTTGCCCACCCCCCAGTGCCCCCTCCCCGACCACCAGGCAGGAGGGCTCAGCGCCCAGGCCAGTGGAAAACCAGCTGCCCTTGGGCTTCGCAGGTAGACCAGGCTCGGCCTGGGGAAGCACTATTTTGCATTAGTGGCCTTTCAGGAGCAGGCCAGATGGGGTGAGGGAGTCCATGAGCCTGTGTAGGTGGGAAGGGAGACAGAGAAATGGAAGGCCCTGGGGTCCAGGTTGTGGCTGAGGGGAGAGGAAGGAGGGAGGGGTGGTGTTTGGGGGATGAGTGGGCGTCTCCTGGACCAGCGCCTGGGTGGGGCCAGGAGTTAATCCCAGGGGGTGGAGGGGGCAGGATTAGGGATTAAAAAGAACAGAGGTGGGGCCAGAATGTGAAAGAAAGCTGGGATGGGACTGGACTAAGTTTGGGAAGAGCCAGAGAGTGGTGGTGTCACAATGAGGATGTGGAGAGGTGAATGGGGTGAGGGCCCACGTCCAAACCAAACCGGGGGAGTTACAGTGGGATGTAGCCATCAAATCTAGTGTTAAGGTAACTCTTTTTTTTTTTTTGAGAGGTTTTTGCTATAGGGCGCGTGCGCTCGCCAGAAAGACAGAGAGACAGAGAGACAGGAAGCGAGAAATCACCCCCCAGGGGGGATGGCCATGCTGCAATCCCTTCTCCTCCTTTCTCCTCTTGGGATCTTGGGCACGCACCCACACGTGCCTGGCGTGAGTTTAAGCCACCAGGTCCAAGACTCAAACCGTGGTCGACTAACGTGGGAGTCCAGCGACATAGCCATTACGCTAACTACTGGTCCCAAGATAACGTTTTTTAAAAGAACTATTATTATTTAAAAGTTTTTGATTTGTGGGGCTGGCAGGCGGTGTGGCGGTTAAGGGCACTGAACCCCTACATGGCCGGCCGCAGTTCAAGTCTCGAACCTGGGGGCTTGCTTTCTCTCTTTCCTTCTCTTTCTCTTCCTCTTTGTCTGGTAAAATTAAAATAAGTAAATAAGTAAATAAATAAAGCTAAATAAAATAATTCTTTAAACAATTTAAAAAATGTATTTGTTATCATTATTCTTCAGTTTTGACCAGAGAGAGAGAAAGAAAGGGAAGGAGAGAGAGAAAGCAAGCTGCCAGGTCCAGGATTTGAACTGCTTTCAGCCATATGGAAATCCAGCACCTCAACCATCATGCCACCTGCTGGTCCCTAAATAACTTGTTTTTAAAGTGTATTTCTCCAGGGCCAGCCAGGTGGCATGGTGGTTAAGGTGGCTGAATCTCACGTGATTTGAATCTTGGACCCCATAGCTTGCAAAAACGTTCCATACGTGTGTGTGCCCAAAATTCCAAGAGGAGAATGAAGGGAAGGGACTGTGGCAGCCCCGGGAAAAAAAAATCTTTCCCTCTCCTTATCTCTCTCCAATGAGCGCACTTGGCCTACACAAATTGTTTTAAAGAATTATTTCACTGAACTTTATTTATTTACTTAATTTATTTAAATTTGACCAGAGAGGGACAGAGTGAATGACAGAGAGATAGAGAGATAGACAGAAAGTGAGAAAGCAAGCTACCAGGTCCGGGACTCAAACCACGGTCAGCCATGTGGGATTCCAGCGCCCTTAACCACCACACCTCCTGCTGGCTTCCCCATACAAATTTTTTTTAAATTCTGAAATTCTTTTCTTTTCTTTTTATTTATTTATTTATTTTTTTTTTTTGAGAGGGATTTTTGCTATAGGGTATGTGTGCTTGCTGGAGAGACAGAGACACAGAGAGACAGAAAGTGAGAAGTCACCTCTGGGGGGGGGGATGGCCACGTCACAACCTCTTCTCCTCCAGTGTCCTTTTGGGATTTGGGACATGCACGCACACGCGTCTGGTGTGAGTTTTAAGCCACCTGTCTCAGGCTCAAACTGCGGTCAGTTACGTGGGACTCCAGAAACATAACCATTATACCATCTGCTGGTCCCCAAATCCTTAAATTCTTCTAAAAACAAGTGTATTTCTCTTGGGAGAGAGAGAGAAGCAGCTACTCTCACGGGGGTCTGGGAGCCACCACCCAGCCCCAGTCTCTGCCAGCGCAGGATCACGGCCACGCGCTTGCCCAGCCCACGCAGGAAGGTCTCTAGCAGCGAGCCCAGAACCTCCCACGTGGGTCAGCCTCACAGAGCGTTGTGCTTGATGGCCACACCGACACCTGCCTCCAGCTTGTGTGTGTGTGTGTGTGTGTGCTATAGGACAGGAGCACTTGCCAGGAAGACAGAGAGAGGACGGGTGAGAAAGCACCCCTCAGGAAGGATGGCTGTGCCAGTCTCTTCTCTACTCGCTCGGGATTCTAGGCACACACACACGCACACACACACTCACACGCACACGCACACGCCTGGCATGAGTCTCAAGTTGCCAGATCCCATACTCGAGCCACGCGGTTGGCCATGTGGGATGCAGCTACCTTAACCCCCATGGCACTGCCGGCCCCATGGCTCCAACTCTGAAAAATAGAAACATCTAACCAGGCTCTTTGGCATATATAAAGCGAACGTAAGTCAAAGATGTTGACTCGCTCAGAAACGGCAGCGCCAGCAGGCTATGGGGAAGCACCCTCCTCTGGGAGCGATAAGGAATGCGGAAATGAGTTTATGGGTAGATGCAGAACGGGCTATTCCACATCGGGTGCTTAATTGGACTTCCACGGACAGTACTCACTTGCACAGTTCTGGATAGAAGTGATCTGCATGGCTGTCAGCTGCCTACGCGCTCCTAAGTCATGAACCCGTTCAAAGGTAGTGCCCAGTGCAGACCCCATAAAATCAGCTCACCTTCTAGATGTTGCCGTCGAGGACACCCGCCAGGGCCATGCCAGCCTCTTGCTAGGAAGAAAAGCAGGGCTTACCATGGGACCTGAGTAGAGTCTGTGCTTAGGTTTCTGGGTCTGATGGGAATGCAGTGAGTGGGGAGGAGAATGGGAACTGGATGAGGACGAGGAGAGGGTTGGGGGTGGAACTGAAGTCGGCTTGGGGACAGCATTGGGCTCAGAAAGCAGGGTTCTGTGGGTAAGGTTGTACCTGGGATCCCACTGGGTTGGGCTGAAGATGGGCCCAAGGCTCAGGCTTTGAACAGGGGAGTGCCATGACAGGTGAGCTGCGGGTGTGGGTCCGCAGAAGTGATGAACCCCAGACAGGAGGGGGAGCGCTTGTTGTGCGGTGGGCTTTGCTGGGGTGGGCTGCGTCATAGCTGGGCTCCCCGCAGAGTGACAGAAGGGCTGCTGTCCTCCCAGCCTGGACTCCCCCCAGAGTGGGCGCTAAGTTCACCCTTTCCGAGTGCGGCTGGGTTCAGGTGGGGTGGCAGGAGGGAGGAGCCCAGGTGAAGCGAGGTGACCGGCCTGTGTGGGAAGTCGGGGTACCTGTGCCCTCTTGTGATCTGGAGCCATGCTTCGAGAGGAAGCTTTCTCACACGGAAGGGCTCCTGGGGTGGGGGTGGCTGCTTTGGCGTTTGCCGAGGGGTGAGTGCCGGGTCAATGCTGCTGTGAGGAGTTCTGATTGGCTGGGACTGGGTTTGGCTGACTGAGTGGTGTGAGGTCATGCCGCCAGGTTGGGTGCCTTCCACCCCCTCACTTGATTGACAAGGCAATGAGGAGCCCATGCCCGAAAGTCACACACGAGTCACATTGGAGTCACATTGCAGCCGGGTGTACCGGCTCAGAGACCAAGGCCTTCCCCTGCAGGGGGCAGGGTTGGAGAGAGAGCAAAGGACTAGAAAGAGCAGCTCAGAGCTCGGACTGTGGGTCCACGTGACGTGGCCACTTGGCCTCAGTGTCTTCGTTTATGTTTGTTTTATTGTTTTGTTTTGTTTCGTTTTGTTTTTGAGAAGTTTTTGGTATAGGGCGCATGCACTTGACAGAAAGACAGAGAGACAGAAAGACAGAAAGCGAGAAATCACCCCCCAGGGGGGATGGTCACGCCGCAATCCCTTC